GACCTTGGCCTGATGGAGGACTCCGCGGCCGCTCGACAACATGAAGACGAAGAAGCGGACGACAGCCTTGGGTTCCCACTGTCCCGAATGATTTTCGAGGGTCCTGCTGGAGAGCTGCAGAACACTGCCAACTCCCAGCCGGCTATCATGACTGTTAGCATCGCCGCCTGGCGCGTATCGCGCATGGCGCGGAGGAATATGCCGGTCGCAAGCGATGGAGCGAATGGCACGTTGACGGCTCACAGCCTGGGGCCGCAAGTTATAACGGCACTAGTGGCTGCGGGAGTTCTGGGCTTCCCGGACGCTGTGCGACTGGTACGCCGCCGGGGCGAACTGATGAACCAGGCCTCAATGAGCCGTCCTGGCACCATGGCAGCGATCCTGGGACTGGACGAATTCGCGCTGGGGCAGGTCTGCGCCGAGACTGGCGTAGAGTTGGCCAATATCAACACCGACAACCAGATAGTAATCAGCGGAAGCCGCATGGCGGTAGCGCAGGCCGTCGACCTCGCCACCGCTCGCGGGGCCCGGAAGTCTGTGCCGCTGCCAGTCAGCGGGGCCTTTCATTCCTCGCTCATGGTTGAGGCCGAGGCGGGGCTTTCTGCCGAATTGGATTCGCTGACTCTCCATGAACCCAGAATGCCTATCATCGCCAATTGCGACTGCCGCTCATTGAACAGCAGCCAAGAGATTCCCGACGAGCTGGTCAATGGACTCTGCCGCTGTGTCCAGTGGAAGGACTCGGTGGTGGCCATGGTCGACTCCGGGATTACCCGGTTCGTCGAATTCGGAGCGGGTGGAGTTTTGGCTGGACTGATCAAGCGAATTGACCGCGAGGTGGAAGTTTCCGCAGTGGCCGATCCGGATTCCATCCGGAAACTGGCACTTGCGACAGACTAAAACCTCCGGGACTTGCCAGGGGCTGGGTTTTTATGGTCAAGGCGGCTGACCCAAGGCGTGTGGCGAGGTCCGTAGCGCTGCAGTCCCTTTTTGCCTCAGATGTATGTGGAAGGCCATGGGGCGACGATCAGGCCCGCAGGCCCAGCCCTGACTACGACTGGCTGGATGAGGACATTGACCGCACCGCCATGGAGTTTGCCGACAGGCTGCACCGCGGCGTTAGCGTTCACCGGCAGAGGCTCGACGGCCTCATTGGCCAGTTTGCCCCGGCATGGCCGGTGACCCAGTTGCCCATAGTAGACCGTAATATCTTGCGAATTGCCATTTTCGAACTTTTGCATAATCCGGCCACTCCACCCAAAGCGGCGATTGACGAAGCGGTGGAGCTGGCCAAGGTGTTCGGCAGCGACAGCTCGGCCAGGTTCGTAAACGGGGTCTTAGGCTCCGTTATGACCAGCTTGGAATCCGGGGAACTGGTCGCAGCCGGTCCTGCACCAGATGGGAGTTGAACCTTGCCCACAGTTTATGAACGCGTAAAAGACATTGTTGTAGACAAACTGGGAGCCGACGAGGCCGACGTGGAAGAAGGCTCGTCCTTCATCGAGGATCTCAATGCCGACTCCCTGGACCTGGTCGAGCTGATAATGGCTTTCGAGGAGGAATTCTCCACCGAGGAGTCCCCTCTGGAGATTCCCGACGAGGACGCGGGCTCTATCGCCACCGTCTCCGATGCCGTGGCCTATCTGAAGGGTCGCGGCATAGATGACGACTGACGACCGCCACCACTGGCAGAGTTTCCGGTCCTCTCCTATTCGGATCCCATCCGATCGGGCCTTTTGTGGTTTCCCCTGTTTTGTGCCGTCCCATAGACTGTGCCGTTTGCCGGGCAGGATGAGACGGAACCGCCCAACGCAAGGATGGAATGGATAGCCTGGACGATGTGGCCCAGGCGGTTCGCGCCTGCACCGATTGTCCGCTTCATCGCGGGCGAACAAACGCGGTGCCGGGAGAGGGCAGCCCATCCGCCGACCTGATGTTCATCGGCGAGGGACCGGGTTTTCACGAAGACCGCCAGGGACGTCCGTTCGTCGGGCCGGCGGGACAGCTCCTGGAGGGGTTGCTGGCATCCATAGGCACGAACCGCGATGAAGTTTTCATCGCCAATATGGTCAAGTGCCGGCCCCCAGACAACCGCGATCCTCAGCCCCCGGAAATCGCGGCATGCGCCAAGTACCTTGAGCGGCAGATCGAGCTGGTAAACCCCAAATTGATCGTAACCCTGGGGCGATTCTCGTTGGGGCGATTCTTCCCTGGGGAAAGCGTCACTCGCGCCCGCGGCAAGCTGCGTGAAAAAGACGGGCACCAGATTTTCCCAGTGCTGCACCCCCGCTGCGGCGTTGAGGCGTCCAGAGTTGCGATCAACTTTGGTGGAGGACTTTCGAGCAATCGCAGCCGTCCTCGCCGCGCCCCCCCAACCGGAGCCGGGGGAAGACGCTGCGTCCACAGTGGACACGGATACGCCAGTTGACGAAGCGGAGACGGCCGCCCAGATGGACCTATTCGGCGCCCCGGCTCCGATTCCGGCTCAGCCGCATGTAGCGCCGGATGCACCCCCAGGGGACGAATATCCCGACAACAGTACTGGCCAGGACGGGCCTGAAGAGGCCGCTGGCCCGCAACAACTTTCGATGTTTTAGGTTTTGGATAGGAATGAGTACCCAATCGACTGAGAAGCTCCGTGCCATTCCCCTGGGAGGGTTGGGGGAAATCGGCAAGAACATGCTGGCCCTTGAATATGGCGACGACATCATCATCATAGACTGCGGCGTCCAGTTCCCAGAGGAAGGGATGCTGGGTGTGGACCTGATCATCCCTGACGTTTCCTACCTAGTGGAACGAGCCGACCGGATTCGCGGCATCCTTATAACCCACGGTCACGAGGACCACATAGGCGCCCTGCCTTTCATCCTTCCCTCAGATTCCAACGGAGGTCTTCGCCCCGAGGCTGGCCCACGGTCTTATTTCCGCCAAGCTCAAGGAGCGCCGCGCCACTCGGGAGTTCACGTCTACCCCCATTGATCCCGGTATCCCCTACCAGTTCGGCCAGCACTTCGCAGCCCGGTGGTTCCGGGTATGCCACAGCATCCCCGACGCCATGGGCATCGCTGTAAGCACACCTCTGGGCACAGTGATTCACACCGGAGATTTCAAGATCGACCATACTCCGGTGGATGGCCGGACAATAGATCTGACCGCCCTGGCTGGCTATGGCGCAGAGGGAGTCCTGCTCCTGTTCTCCGACTCGACCTACGCTGAGGTTCCCGGGTACACCCCATCGGAGCAGGTAGTTGGTGAGGCACTGGATCGGGCGATCAGGGAAGCACCCGGCCGGGTCATGGTTGCCACCTTCGCCTCGCTGGTTTCCCGGGTACAGCAGGTAGTGGACGCGGCGGAGCGCCACGGGCGCAAGGTCAGCATCGTGGGGCGCAGCATGGTGGAGACGGTCAACGTAGCCTCCGAGCTGGGGTACCTGCGTTTGCCCGCCGGGATCCTGGTGCCCCTGAACGCCACTCGCAACCTGCCTCCGGAACAGGTCGTCCTGATGACCACGGGCAGCCAGGGCGAGCCCACTTCGGCATTGGTGCGCATCGCCAACGAGGACCATCGCGACGTGAGCATCAGGGAGGGTGACACCGTGGTGATCAGCGCCACGCCGATCCCAGGCAACGAGTTGCCGGTCAGCCGCACCATCGACAATCTGTTGCGGCAAGGTGCCCGCGTCCTCTACGACCGCAACGCAACTGTCCACGTTCACGGCCATGCCAGCCAGGAGGAGCTCAAACTGGTACTCAACCTGGTCAAGCCCCGCTACTTCGTGCCAGTCCACGGAGAATACCGGCACCTGAACGCCCACGCCCAACTGGCGTGGGATCTCGGCGTTGCCCAGGACGGGATATTCGTCCTGGAGGATGGCGACGTTCTGGAACTCGGCGCGGAAGGCGCGTCCACTGCGGACCGAATAAAGGCGGGCCCGATATTCGTCGATGGTGTCTCCCGACGGGACAACAAGAGCCAGGTGCTCACCCAGCGCCGCAGTCTTTCCCGCGACGGTGTGGTGGTGGTGGTAGTGGCGGTGGACCGCGATAGCCGCTTACTGTCGGGGGAGCCCCTGACCGTTGCCAGCGGATTCATGGACGAGGGCGAAACCGGCGCACTGTTCAAGGATCTGGGGGTCCACCTGATATCGGAATTGTATTCAAACGGCGGCCCGCCACCCAGTGAAGATGAAATAAAGTCAAAAAGTGCGCGAAACTGCCCGCGGCTTTATAGCTAACGTAACGCGCAGATCGCCTATGATAATCCCCGTGGTGACCGAGGTCTGAAGAGACCCCGGTTCCCTCCCTTTATGTGGAGGGTGTGGGTGGGTGTGGGTATGAATAAGGGTGTTCCCAGTCTCCTGCCTTGGTTGCCGCCAGATCGCGACCGGTAAGGAGGCGCCTGATGGCCACCACCGCGAGGACCGCTCCGCCCACCTTCGCAGACATGTTCCGCGCCAGTCCCTGGCTGTTCGTTGACGGACTTGTAGTCCTGTCAGCGGCAGTCATCAGCGGCGCGTACCTGTATTTCTACGAGAGCCACCGCGAGTGGCTTTGGCAGGCCATGGGTTACGGGTGGGCTCCCGTCGGATTGTGGGCAGCCTCGGCCCTCCTTGTGCTCCGCTACCAGCCCAGGATCGTGGTGCACCACTGGCGCCTGTGGGCGGCGACCGCCGCTGCCGCTGCCCTGTGCCTTGCGGCATTGTCTTATGTCCATCCTCCACGCGGCCTGCTGGAAAACGTCAGCCTGGCTGGCCGCTGGGGAGTGGTCGTCGGAGGCCCGTCCTTGCTCCCCCTGGGGCTGGCGAAAATGGTGGGCATTGTCGCGTTCGTGCCGCTGGTGCTCTATCCCCGTTCCATAGGCCCCCTTTACACCCATGGCCTCTCCCACCTGTGGCGCTGGTTTCAAGTGGCAGCGGGGTACGCTTACCTTGGCGTTCGCAAGGTTACTCACGGAACCGGCCAGCAAATTGGCCGACTGAACGAGAGGCTGGTTGCAGGCCGACAGGCGCGGGTCGCTGCACGGGCTCTGGACAAGGGGGAGCAGGGTGAACCCAAGGCGGAGCCAACCCAGCCTGCAATCAGGACCATCAAGGAGCCCAAGCCGGAACCCGCTCCCCTAGCCGATATGACTGGCACTCAAATATCAGACGAGATTGGCAGGAAGGGAGAGGACCTGCTTGCCTGGCTGAACACGCCCGAAGAACCCTCTGAGGGAAGGGAACGAGAACGGCTGGAAACTGCCGTCGCTCGAGCTGCTGGCCCCTCCGGAGCCATTGGGGGCGACGCAGGAAGAATTCAGAGATATGGCCAAGCACGTCGAGCAAGCTCTGGCAGATCACGGGGTGCGAGTGGAGGTCACCGACATCAAAGCGGGCCCTCGGGTGGTCCAGTTCGGCCTTTCGCCCGGCTGGGTTCCCAAGCGCGGCTCCAGCAATGAAGACGGGTCGGAGCGCAGCCGAGTCAAGGTTCAGAGCATAATCACCCGCGAGAAAGACTTGGCGCTCGCCCTCATGACCCCGTACCTTCGAGTAGAAGCTCCGGTGCCCGGCGCGGCGCTGGTGGGGCTGGAAGTGCCGGTGCCTTCGCCCACCAAGGTGCACCTTCGGGCAGTCCTGGAGACCGCCGAGTTTGCCAAGTTGATGAGCAAGGGTGGCCTGCCCGTCGCCATGGGGCAGGACACCGGAGGGGACCCAATCGTCCTGGACCTGGCAGCCCTGCCGCACATGCTCATTGCCGGCTCCACCGGCAGTGGCAAGAGCGTGCAGATCAACTCCATCATTGCCTCCTTCCTGCTGACCAAGACGCCGGACCAGCTGCGAATCCTGATGGTTGATCCCAAGCGCGTCGAGCTCACCCCCTACAACGGCATACCCCACCTCATCCAGCCGGTGATCGTAGAGCCGGAAGAGGTTACGGAATCACTGCGGGGGCTCAGTCGCGAGATGATCAGGCGCTACAAGCAGATGGAGGAGCTTGGCGTCAGGAACATCGAGGTGTACAACGAGCGGTCAGAAGACAAGATGCCCTTCCTGGTGCTGATTGTGGATGAGCTGGCCGACCTGATGATGGTGGCCGGATTCGAGGTGGAACAGAACCTGGTGCGCCTTGCCCAGTTGGGCCGGGCAGCAGGCATCCACCTGCTCCTGGCAACCCAACGCCCCTCCGTAAACGTGGTCACCGGTCTGCTCAAGGCCAACATCCCCGCCCGCTGCGCCTTCGCCGTGTCGGGGCAGGTCGACTCGCGAGTAATCCTTGACTCCGTAGGCGCCGAAAAGCTGATGGGCAAGGGAGACGCGCTCGTCCTGCACAAGGAGTCCCCGAGGCCCGAAAGGATGCAGGGCGCCCTGGTCTACGACGAAGAGGTTGAGGCCCTAGTGAATTTCTGGGCTGAGCAGGAAGGCCCGCCGATTCCGCCCATCAGCCTGGAGCCCGGTGAGGACGAGGAGGGCAACGACACAATGGACGTGCACCAGATGGAAAAGGCCAGAGATCTGGCAGCCCGCAACCCCAACCTGAGCACCTCCGTCCTCGAGCGGCGGCTGAAGGTGGGAGAAAAGGCGCGCCGAGGAGATCCTGGAGACGCTGGAAGAGGAAGGCTACCTCGTGCCGAATTAGACTGCAAAGCTCCCCAGGTTAGGGGCAGACGGAGACTACGAAGGCACCCGCCCTCTGCGAGGCGCGGGTGCCTCTGTTTTTGGAAGGGTGCAGGCGCCGTCGTGGGGAACGCGGCCCTTTCCCGCCCTCAGGGATCGGGTGGAAGCTGTCCCGCCGGATTTCGCAATCCAGATTCCCGTGCTATTATTGTGCATCCTTTTTGTTCCTCGGCTGTTGCTTTGCTCATCGACCTTCACACCCACAGCTACCCCATGTCCGACGACAGCTTCCTGAGCGCCGATGAGCTTATCGAGGGCGCCAAGGCGGCGGGTCTCGACGGCATCTGCCTCACCGACCACGACGCATTCTGGCCCACCGAAAGAGTTGCAGAGCTTTCGCGGCGCCACGAATTCCTGGTGCTGGCAGGAAGTGAGATCAACACCGACGCCGGCCACGTGCTCGCCTTTGGCCTCAGACGGTCACGAGTTCGAGGATGCACAGTGCCCGCATTTCCTACGGCCCAATGCCGATCGCGACAGGGGCGGTCCTCATTAAGCGGGGCGGCCTCACTCCCTACCGGCGCCGGTTCCTCGAGGACCCCGGTCGCGATCCCGAGGCCCGGGCAGGGATGTTGGAACGTGCCATCTCCGACCCGTTTTTTTTGGCTATTCGAAGACTGTCGAATCCACAATGGGTTGAGTTCCGCTGAGCAGACACAGGTTACCGGTCGACCTTGTTGAATCGCTGGCGCTCCCGTCTGTTGCTGGAAGCGATGCCCACCGGACCCACCAGATCGGAACGGCCGCCACCGAGTTCCGGGGCCGCGTGGAATGCCTGGGCGACCTTATGCGACTGTTGAAGAGTGGCGATTGCCGCCCTGTTGATCTGCGGGAACGACCGGTCCCGGAGGCGGGCAAGTCCTTCCCGGACAAGTCATTCTCGGAAACCCGTGCGCCTTCCAGATAGCATCGGTTCCACATTAGCCTTTCAGCACCGGTGGCTGAAGTTCTTGTTCGAACGGAGCTCCCGCAATGGCCGAAGCCCTGAGAATAGAAGACCTCTCCGTCGAGTTTCGCAGCCCTGCCGGCACTGTCCGGGCCCTAAACGGTGTCAACCTCACCCAGGAGGAGGGCGAGACCTACTGCGTTGTGGGAGAGAGCGGCGCAGGAAAGAGCACACTGGCCCTGGCAATCATGGGCCTGCTTCCGCAGAACTCCTCGGTGCTTGGCGGGCGAATTTACTTCCAGGGCGTTGACCTGATGCGGGCCGGGCCGGACTACATTCGGGGTCTCCGCGGACACGAGGTGTCCATGGTGTTCCAGGACGCGCAGGCGGCCCTGAATCCCGTGGAGCCGGTAGGGTCGCAACTGGAGGAGGTCATCCTCCAGCACAGCGACATGTCGCTGCGGAACGCCAACCGCATGGCCCAGGAGATGCTCCACGAGATGGGGCTTCCCGACCCCAAACGGGTGATGGGTCAGTACCCATTCTCTCTGAGCGGCGGCATGTGCCAGCGGGTGATGATGGCCATCGCCCTAGTGCTGCGCCCCAAGCTACTCATCGCCGACGAGCCGACCTCGGGCCTGGACGTCACGCTGCAGGCGGAGATCCTGGAGCGCCTGCGGCGGCTGGTCAGAGAGCAGGGTTCGTCGGTACTTCTCATCACCCACGACCTGGGCGTTGTGGCCTCGGTGGCCAAGAAGGTGGGCGTGATCTACGGCGGCGGATGGTGGAGCGGGCCGACGTGATACCGCTGTTCCGCCGTGCCCAGCACCCCTACACCTGGTCGCTGCAGCAATCGTTGCCCCGGCTGACGACCCCGACCGATACATACAGCCCGTTCCCGGCAACCCGCCGGACCTGGTGAACATTGGGGAGCAGTGCCCCTTCCTACCTCGCTGCTTCAAGGCAACAAGAGCCCGCCAATGCAAGCGCACATCCCCCGCTCTGCGGAGACGGAGGAGGACCACTTCGTGGCCTGCTACAACCCGATGGTGCCGCAGGAAACGGAGTAGTTCGATCCCCACTTAACGCCCCGCACCTAACGACGCGGGACGGCATCGCCTACGAGGAGTTCGAGGGCGAGGTCGGGGTCGACGCGGCCCTGCTTGATGCAAGAGTCGCCTCGAGCAGGCGGTCTAGGCGCAAGGGAGTTGTGTCCCTTCCCGAGGAGTTGTCGTCGGGGCCTGCTCCATGGTCTTGCGCACCACGAAGTCCGACGACGTTCCCAGAGTCCGCTTCAGTTCATTCTGCGGGACGCTGCGCTCCACGGAGTCCCGGGCCAAGGCCAGCAGCCGCAACTGCCGCTCCACCATGGCGATGATGTACTGGGGCTCCCGCCCGTCGTCCCGGAGCTGGGCCAGCAGGCGGAGCGCCACCTGGGGACGCCCGTCGATCATGGCATCCACGGCCTCGAAGATGCTGGCCTCGCGGACCTGCGAGACCATCAGGCGTATGTCGGTCTCGCCGATCTCCCGTCCCGAGGCGTAGAGGGACAGCTTCTCCAGTTCCTGTTCCAGCGTCCACAGGTCGCTGCCCACGAGGTCGGCCATCGATCGGATGGCCGCCGGACTGATAGGCGCTCCCTTGGCCTCGGCGGTCTCCTTGATCCAGCGGGCCAATTGCTCGCCGCGCGGGGCCGTTTGCTCCTCCACCGTGCAGACCGGGCTGAGCGCGCGCAACAGGGGGTTGTTGGCGTTCAGCGTCCCGTCCGAAAGCATCAGCAGCGTGGTGTCCGGCATCTGGGGTATGGCGCTCACCAAAGGCTGCCAGCGTTCGTCGACGGCTCCGCCGCCGCGCCTACCCCGACCGCCGCCGGAGCGCGACTCCGCTGTGGCCAGCAGACCATCAACCGCGACGAGGCGCAGAGTGTCGAGGAAAGGCAGAGCCTGGCAGACGGCGAGGAGCTCCTGGGGGCTGACCTGGTTGCCCTGCATCCGATGGCGGTTAGCGTCGAGGATGCCGTCGGCGCCGTTCTCGGACTCCAGCGCGGCCGTCCGCTGCCGCACCAGGAAACTGTCGCCGTAGACCACAAATGCGGGCAAATTTGATCCGAACCTTTTAGAGTTGATCCGGGCCGATTATAGCACTGGGTGCCGGTCCCATTTCCCAAGGAGGCGTTCTTGGGGAGGACAGGGCTATCGCATTTGGACGGAGAGATTCCGTGGCTGCACAGGGAATGGAATATGGTAATCCGCGAGAGGCAGAGCTGCGGTGGGGGATGCGAGGTCTCCGTGGGACTGGATTTTCACACTCCTGTCCCATTTTGTCCCAAATTCACGGTCTGTCCTATCTGAGATTTCCCCAATTTGCGGAAAAATCGCGATTCCCGTCCCATTTTGTCCCATCCTGTCCCATCCTCGTTTTCCCGCCTATTCTCGGATGGCTGGACGGCCATGCCGTAAGCCGGGAATGCCCCGAGGAGCCGTGGGCAACAGCAAGAATGCGAGGATATGGTACGGAGGCTCCACCAGGCTTGGTGAGCGTCATGTGTCATCAATATATCCAAATGTGATTGACCTGTGCGCGTGCCCCTTCCGACCTTCGGAACGGAAGGAAACCAAAGGGAATTTTCTGAGATGCCAAAGGAGACCCCGGAATATCCGTCCGATTCTGTCCAAAAGTGTCCAATTTGAGGGATTCTCGCCCACTCCAGGACTGCGCCGGGGCGACGAATTGTGGGACGTTTAGGCTGTCGGCCATCGGTTCACCCGGTTCGTTGGTCGCTGGCTGAATCTGCGATCATTCAAGTTCGCCACATACGATGGTAAGGATGTGTCATGAGGCTTGGCAAGAGGCGACTGTCATCAAATCTTTGGAAATCCACAACTCCCCGACCCGATTTCCATTTCCGCAGGCGTGGTGAGGGACAGAGGCGGGCAGGGCAATCGCGTCTTATTACTCAGCACACAAAACTGGTCTGAATGGCGGTGGAGATGGGAGTGGCAGTGCCTCCTTCAGTTCCAGGTGCGAGGGTAGACGGGGGTTGGATTTGGCTTCGCGCTGCGCGGGAATGACGACTTATAGGACCCTCGGCTTTTAAGACGCGATTGCCCTGCAGAGGCGGGCGGGGCGGTGGCGGCGGTGGTTCGGGTGTGGAATAATGGGCCGTCTTGTTCCACATCCTTGCGTTCAGCAATTTCCGGAATTTACTGATGAAATTTGGCCTGTTTTCCCATGTGCCGTGGCCCGAAGACACGGCGCCGACCGAGGTTGTCGACAACATCACCGAAGAGTTCGTCGTCGTAGGCGAGCAGCTGGGCTTCGACAGCGGCTGGCTGGCGGAGCACCATTTCTCGTCACGCGACGGGCTGGGTCGGCTTGAGGAGGCGGAAGGCGAATAACGACGTCTGAGGTGAAAGAATTATCTAATGTCTCTGCTTCTCTTTCTTAGAACTCTTTTATCAGGACTTTGTTTGTTCCTCTTTTTAAGCTTGGCGACAAGTATTCTTTTCTGTGGCTTTTATTTTCTGTCGTCTGCTGTGTTCATTTTCTTTGCTGCGGGTGTTTCCTATCGAAGTCAACGACGCAGCATCACTTTCCTTAGAACTGCAGGGCGAAGCGCAGGGTCATCGTCTTTTTCCCCGCTGTGTGAAAAGGTAAAAGCTTTCGATGAAATGCGTCGTCTTCAGATGACTTGGAGGCCGATGGATTCTCGACGGGCGGCCCTCTCCTCGCGGCCAGGACGGCTACGAGTACACCGGCTACCAGCGTGCGCACCACTTGTAGGCGAGCCAGGACCGGTTCCGGGAGTCCATCCGCATCATCGAGGGGCTGTGGACCACCCGGGACTTCTCATACGAAGGCAAACACTACCAGGTGCACAACACGAACCTGGTGCCGCCCCCGGTGCAGAAGCCGCACCCGCCCATGTACATTGCAGCAACGCGAAGCCAGGAGACCCAGGACTTCGCCGCGGCCAGCGGGCACTCCGGCATCATCGGCGTGGTGCTGGACACCAGCGACGGCCTGAGCCTTTGCCACCAACTGGTTGAGGGGGCACGGGAGGCGGGCAAGCCCATGGATATGGGCGGCATACCGTTCTTCCGGTACTTCTACGTGGCCGAGACCGAGGAGGAAGCCCGCCGCGACTCCGAGCCCGGCCTCAACTGGACACTGGACGTGAACCAGTGGCGTCGCACATACAAGCGCGGCAGCGAGGTATACGACAGCCTGGACACCTTTCGCCAGAACCGCACCGAGCTTCCGACATCCTTCGAGTACCTGGCCGAGCACCGGGCATTCATCGGCAACCCAGAGCAGATCATCGCGAAGATCCGAGCGCTGCAGGACGCGGGGGTCGGGTATTTTGGCTGCAACTTCTCCTTCGGCGGGATGCCTCAGAAAAAGGTGCTGAAGTCCATGGAACTGTTCGCCCGCGAGGTGATGCCCGAGTTCGCGTAGGGGGCGGTTACCGCTCCCGCCGGGACGACACCAGAAATAGCAGGAGTTGAAAAATGACCACCCTGGCCGAGACGCTCAGCGGCTACACATCGTCGCTTCGCTACGAGGACCTGCCCGACGAGACGGTACACCTGGCCAAGCGGTTCATCATCGACACACTGGGCTGCGCGCTGGGCGGCTACTCCAGCGAGCCAGCGCGGGTGGCGCGGGAGATGGCGGGCATGGTCTCGAGCACCGCGCCGGTGACCGTGATGGGCAGCGGGCAGCAGAGCAGCCTGGACCTGGCGTCGTTCGCCAACGGGTGGCCATTCGCTACCTGGACTTCAATGACGGCTACACCAGCAACGAGTCCGGCCATCCCAGTGACAGCATTGCGGCGTCGCTGTCGGCCACGGAGGCGTCGGGCGGCAGCGGCAGGACGTTCATCCTGTCTACGGTGCTGGCTTACGAGGTTTTCTGCCGCCTGTGCGACACGGTGGACATCAAGCCGCGATTCGACCACGTGACCGTCGGCGGCGCGGCAAGCACGCTGGCGGCGGCGCGGGCGCTGGGACTGACGCAGGAGCAGACGCTGCAGGCTCTGAACCTCAACGTGGCCTCGAACCTGGCGCTGTACCAGACACGCATCGGCGACGTATCGATGTGGAAGGGATGCGCCTACGCCAACGCCACCCGCAATGCCATGTTCGCGGTGATGCTGGCGCAGCGGGGCATCACCGGACCGTCGCCGGTTTACGAGGGCGCTGGCGGCTACTTCAACGCCGTCACGGGGCGTCCAATCGAGCTAAATGCGATGGGAGGCAGCGGGACGCCGTTCAAGATCGCGGAGTGCAGCATCAAGCGGTTCCCGCTGGGCCAGTACTCGCAGACCATCGCTCAGGCGGCGCTGGACGTGCGGGCGCAGGTGCCGGGCGGCATTGCTCCGGACAGCGTGGCCGAGGTGAACATCGCGACGCTGCAGACGGCGGTAAACATCATGGCGGGAGACGCGGAGAAGTGGCGGCCGGCCAACCGTGAGACCGCCGACCACTCGATGCCGTACACGACGGCGGTGGCGCTGCTGTATGGCGGGGTGGAGAGCCGCCACTTCGACGACGAGTTCCTGTTCGACGAGACGCTGCTGGGGCTGGTGGGCAAGGTCAACGTGTCGGTGTCGGAGGAGGCAAACCGGCGTGTGCCCGAGGCGATGCTGTGCGACCTGGAGGTGGTGACCACGTCGGGTGAACGACACTCGGCGCAGGTGGCCTACCACAAGGGTCACTACAAGAACCCACTGACGGACACCGAGGTTGAGGACAAGTTCCGGTCGCTGGCGTCGGAGCATTTGGACGCAGGCCGCGTGGAC